GRAAAAAWWRGSYTWAWTTYGTTTGAAATAGCTGTAAAAGCGTTTTCCTGGATTTCCCCATAAAACGCATAAATTAAATCCGATTTTCCAAATATTTACTCAATATGAATTTGAATCCCTTGTTGATCATGTAGTAAAATATTATTACGATCTGAGCAACTTAAATTACTTTTTGACCCGTTTCTTTCGTCCCGGTCGGTGTTCTAAACAACTGTATCCAGATACCTTAAAGTAACTATTTCTGTATCACACAATGTACAAAGACAGGGGCCGGGGAGCGTGAATTTGTTTGGGGGCKGCTAGCGGCGAGGAGATAGTAGGGGGGTTAACGAATTTGAAATCTTAACTCTCGGAAATGTCATTTCCAGCGTTTTGAGGCGTTATCCAAGACATATTTACCGCACACATGGTCAGTGAAAAAAAAATCACAAAGAATTCGCAAAAAAGCTTCAATTTAATTATTCACGCTCAGTTTTTACACAATTATTATAGAATATATATGGTGAAATTTCATAAGGAGGCTCTTCGCTTTAAGAAAATTCAAAATGTCGGAAAAATTATTATTTTTTTTTGGGGGGGGGAGCTGCCCCCCCCCCCTGCTCCGCGGTCCCTGAAAGAAAATGGCAAACTTCCCCCACAGTATTTCCCGGTGCAAGAAGTAAGAGGTAATTACTTTGAAGAATAATTTTCTAATCTATCCAGGCAAGTACATGTGCATTTACATAATATAATGTATTTGAAAGCACTGTAACTATGTACATCATTACAACTGCAATGTTCTCACCTGCCATGTCTACATGCTGTGTAAACACTTCCTTCTTCACTACCCACAACAAAATTGTTTACATCACCAGCCATGAATGACATGCATGTTACCGCTACTGCCTTAGACTGCTTGTACTGAAGCTCCATGTTGTCCTAAAAACACATTTCCATTATGCTTTTTGAAGACATGCCATTGCAATCTTAAATATTACTATTTTCTATTACACTATTGAAAGCTAYGAGATATTACAGTTACCCCAGTATTTTAGCTGATCTTCCTCTGTAGTTATAAAGAATGACACTCAGGGAACTTGCTAGTTCCATAATTTTYATCAGAATCACCAGTATCATTTACAACTACATGTACCAATATCATCAATTATCATAAGAGGCACTGTCATCATCAATACCATTATTACCATATAGGTGTAGGTAATAGGATTATACCTGAGGTTGTGACAGCATATCCAAACTCCATGAACACATTTTACCATCAGTAGACACACTGATCAAGTTGTGAGCATTTTGAGTACCAACAACATTGACGCAGTAAACAGGATGCTGAAAAATAATTAAAGTGTAAATGAAWAAAACCGCTGTGTTAGCCTCAAAACCATGTAATAAATTCTTTTATTCACAACAGCCCGTGCAAATGCAAGAGATCTGTGAGTATAGAAGACAATGGAACTAGTTTGAAATCTCACGAGTTTTATCTACATTTCTGAATATTTTAGCACACAATTGAGGCTAACACAGCGTAAGAGAGATTGCGAAACTCAATGGTCATACATCCCAGAACTCACTTTAATATTGGAAATTTAGATACTTAGAGGACATGAKCCCAAGACGTGACAAAAATACCATTTTGAATTGACTTACAGTATGTGCTGTTGCTGACAGAGGTGTTCTCTGCACTGGAGTTCTCTTGCTACTCCTATTATCCCACAAAACAATCTGACCAGAATATGTTCCACCAACTATCAGATTAGGGTGAAACTTAGCAAATGTGGCTGACATTACAGCAGACTGAAAATAAAATTAAAATAATTCAAGGCATTAAACCCTGCAGCACAAAGAATAAAGATTCATAAAAGCATGTTTCCTTGTGTATTGCATGGTTATTTTAGTGTAAGTGCAAAAATGAATAAATTTTTAAAAAAGGACCATGTCATGCCCCACTGGATTTATATTTCTTGTCTAACTAAGCACTAACTAATCCCTATTTGCCACTTTCATTTCACRGGTATATTATATGCACTCTAAAAAAATGGTCAACCATCGAGTATATTTTTCATTGGCAGGGTTTCTTGCACATACAAAAAAATACAGTAAAAAACCCCGCAAGCCTAAAATAAGCCCTCCATAGCTACCTGTTATTTTTCACAACATGTGTGCTGATCTAAATATTTTAAGATAAGGAAACATTAAACTATATTGAAACTGTTACATCAATTAAGTGGCAGTTTTATGTGGAGATGAAATYGCTATTGGAGCTCCGCTATTACAGTAGGTCTACACAATTTGTATATTAAAATTGTATATAAGTTTAGCTTATAAATACCTGACAATGGAATACATATTCTGGTGTGGTTTTTGAAAACTTCAAGTTCCAGATAAGAGCAACACCATCAGGTTCATGGGGCAAATCTTCATTATTGTTGTAGGAGGCAACAAGTAGTTCTGGATACTGAAAAAAGGAATGACAAAATAGTTACAGTATCACAGGTCATTGAACATGTAAGCAGACAGGCACATTTTATGTCTTTTTGTTATCACATGGCAGACTTTTATATTTAGAACCATGTCTGTGTAAATTGACCTGCCTACAAGTAAAAACTACTGCAGATGAACCTCTTGGGCTGAGATATGGCGCTCTTGGTCCTTTCCAACATTACAAAAAAATCATTAGTATTGTGTTGATACCTGTGTAGACCAGTCCATGCAAGTCACTGTTCTGTGTTTKGACCATCTCTCATCATAAAAATCCCTACTCATTGTAAGTTGAGAAGATGCTTCAGCTCCCCTGAAAGAAYATAAAAGGATTGTTTTGTAAAATTTGCAGAAATATTTTTTAATAAAAAATTAAACAGCTGGTACAGAAAAAACATGTAAGTCTGACTGGATTCAAACCCATGACCTTCCAGACAAGTTGAATGTTCAAACCACTAATTAACTAGTGGTGGTTGAAGGTGGTACAAAACATTACTATTTAGGATAAATGGTCCTAGAAAAATATCACTTCTATCTTCCATACAAAAATATAACTTTGCTAATATATCATCCAGCCCCCTCTCTCTCATAAATAATGGTCCCTTAATATGAGAGTTTGTTGAAAAGACAATCTGAAGTTACTATTGAACGATGACTGTGTCATTTCACTTGTGCCCAGTCTGTATCTGCTAATGCGCTAATAGCTTTGCCACATACATGTACTTGACATTCACCTATTCAATTAATGTGTGTCTGAAGTTTTTCTAACAAATCCATCATTCAAAATGTTTAGTGTACAGTATAAACATACTATATTATGAGGAACAACAAGTGAAACAGGGCATGGCTAAATCCACGTCCACAGTTGCTTTGAAAATTCTTCATACACAAAGGCTCATAAARGTTTTAGTTTTGGATCATTTCTTGATGAAAGCATAATGGATTAAAGTATATCCTACATTGAATGGTAGATTGAAAATAAAGTAAATACATAATAAGAGCTTTCACATTCTTGACATTCCCAAACTACAACAGTGAGGTAAAAACATTATATTATAAACTAAATTTTTAACAGTAGCAAGAATAGATGTTATACTTGTCTTGATCTTCAGCTTCTGCACCAGAATAGTCCATGAAAATGTCAATGTCCTCACAGAGAGCACGCTCCATCAATCTGGTTGCTTTGTCAAAGAATTTTCCAAAYTCTTGAGAATTAAGTATTTGTTCTTTTTGATCATCACTTAGTTCTATGACAGGTTCTGAAACATGATGCCAATATCTCAACATCATTTTACATTGTCTGCTCTATATCATAACCCCTCTCCCATTCAATGTTGTTCGAGTCAACACT